TTCCCGCCGCTGCAGCGCCGGCACTTCCGGTGCGGGTGCCACAACCACTTCCGGCCGGCGCGCGCGCAGGACCGGGCGCCGAGGGTTCCGGGACATTTTGGTTCGTAGGGGCGGAGGAGGGGGCGACACCCAGAGCCTCTAGCGGGGTGGGGAAGGTCTGTGGGGCACACGGCCCCCTGCTTGGTGGGGGGCATTGCTGGCGTCAGTCCCGCTGCATGACTTAGTGCTGTGCCCTGGTACCTGGTCCCTTACCTGCCACATCCCAAGTGCCCAGTGAGTGCTGCCCAGGATTGGGGGACCCTCTGATGCAGCCCAGGACAGCATGGAGAGGTGGTGCTGTGGCCCAGGCTGGGGGTAGTAGAGCTGTGGGCTCAGCCAATTATGGGTTGTGCCCAGAGGGTGCTGCCAAAGTCACTGGAGAGCCGAGATTCAGCAAGGGGTGGCTATGAGGCCCCCAGAGCCCTTGGTGTATGGGAGAAGGGCTGAGGGAACCAGAGAATGGGAGTGCCCATGAGAGTTTGCCTGGGGAGGAGACAGGGGGCCTTGCAATAGAGGAAGGGGTCACCGAATCATAGAAAATAAGGGACCTAAGGAGATCATCTATTCCAACCCCCTACTCAAAGCAGGACCATCCCCCAACAGGTGCATAGTTTCTTAAAGTGATTTAAAGGTGTGATAGAAAGTTTATGCTAGAGGATGTATATATATAACTCTATGTATATATAGAATTATATTTTAAAAAAATCCCAGCCAAAGTTTTGTCTGGCCGGGTCTTAAAAACTACACTAGGGATGGAGATTCTACAACCTCTCTAGACAACCTGTTCCAGTGTTTTACTGATATCTAACCTAAATTTCCCTTGCTGCAACTTGAGAGCATTGCTCCTTGTTCTGTGACGATTGAGAACGGTCTAGCTCCATTCTCTTTGGAACCACTCTTCAGGTAGTTGAAAACTGCTATTAAATTCCCCCCTCCGTCTTTTCTTCTCCAGACTAAATAAGCCCAGTTGCCTCAGCCTCAGAAGTCATGTGCCGCAGCCCCTGAACCATTTTCATTGCCCTCCACTGGACTCTCTCTAATTTGTCCACATCTTTCTGTAGTGGGGAACCCACAAATGGACACAGTACCTCACCAGTGCCTAATAGAAGGGAATAATTTCATTCAGTCTGCTGGCAGCACTCTTACTCATGCAGCCCAATATGCTGTTAGCCTTCTTTGCAACACTGTTGACTCTTACTCAGTTTGTCCACTGTAACTCCCAGCTCCTTTTCTGCAAAACTGCTGCTTAGCCAGTTGGTTGCCTACTTAGGACAGAACAATGCACTGGTACAAGTGCAGGACTTTGCACTTGTCCTAATTGAACCTCATGAGATTTCTTTTGGTCCAGTCCTCCAAGTTATCAAGATTTCTCTAAATCTAAACCCTACTCTCCAGTGTATCTACTACTCCCCCCAGCTTGCTTGCTGTCATCTGCAAACTTGCTGAGGGTGTATTCTATGCCATTTTCCAGGTCATTGATGAAGACACTGAACAAAACTGGCCCCAGGACTGACCCCTGGGGCACTCCACTTGATGCCAGGTTCCAAATAGTTACTGAGCCAGTGATTACTAGGCTCTGAGCCTGATGATCCAGTTTTCTATCTACCCTACAGTCCATTCATCCAACCAACCCATACTTTCTTAGCTTGCCTGTGAGAATGTTGTGGGGGACCATATCAAAAGCCTTGCTGAAGTCAAGGTGTATCACATCCACTGCCCTCCCCACTTCCACAGAGCCAGTCACCTCATTATAGAAGGGTCCCCAGGCACACACCAGCATGGGGGAGAGGGTCCAGGGAGGGAGAGGCAGAGTGGTAGGTGCCACAGGCAGGGAGGGGCAGTGGTAGGTGCAGAAGATACCCCAAAGCAGGGCACCCTGAGGCCAGGGGAAAGTCTAGGGGGTCCTTGGGGGGACCATGGGGGTGCACAGCTGCTCTGGAGCCTAGGGAGAGCCACATGAGGATTTTGGTTGGAGGCAAAGTGGACGCTGTAGGGGCCTTCTCATGCCCTCAGGCTAGCTCAGAGTCCTGGGTTCCTGCACACAGGGCACCCTCCTGCTAGGCCTCTCAAGGTGAGGGGTGCTAGTGGCAGGGTGTCAGAGGTTCCCAGCACAGGATCCTGGCATGGGGGGGGTCCCACTTCACCCAGCCCCTGCCCCCCAGGCCTGGTTCTCATGGTGTGCAACAATCAATATTTATTTAATCAAAGAATTCAAGTCATTCAAGATCCTGAGGCTCCTGCCAGAGTGGATGGAGGGCAGTGCTGGGGGCAGGATACCCCAACTTCCCTCCTTCCTCTGCTTCTCCCTTCTGAAAGGTCCTTTGGCACCCAGACACCTGGGTCTACAGGGGTGGGGATCCTGGATGCCAGCCCCACAGGGAAAGTCTCTGGTAGCTGGACTCCTGGCTTCCCAGTGCAATGATTGGGGGGGCGGGTTCCAACTCCAGCCCCTCAAAAAGAGCACAGCACCCAGACACCTGGGTTCACAGTGAGGTTACAGGGGTTGTCCTGGATTCCAGCAAGTCCCAGGTGCCTGGTCACCTGGGTTCTCATTTCTCCCATCTTCTCACTGGTCCAGGCAGAGTTGGGGGAGTGGGTCATTCTGCTCGGGGGGAGACAGACAGAATTAGGACAGGTAGGAGGTGGTCACATTGCAGCTTGGGGGGGGACACTAATATATGAAGGAGCCAATTAACCCCTTCATTTTTGCCCCACCCCCCGAGGGGCCTGGCTCTTGGGGTGGGAGTAGGGGGGTTGCTTATGGGGGGACCCTGTCCCAGGGTTGAGGGG